TTGGATATAGCTTCTACTGGCTACTTTTTTGTTTTATATGTATAGTGGGTCATGTTTCCCCATTTCTTTCTTTGACTCATAATTTTTTCTTGAAACTAGACTTTTTACATAGTATATTATAGCAACTCAATTCTGATTATATTCATTTTTTCTGTAGGCAGTAGTGGTGGTGGTTGTTTCATTCATTCCTTTTTTTATTTTTATTTTATTTTTTTATCCTCACCCAAGGACACTTTTCCATTTTTTGTTCAGGTAGAGTGGGAGGGAGAGAGAGGAACAGAGAGAGAGAGAGAGAGAGAAACATCGACGTGAAAGGAACACATCGAGTGGCTGCCACCCGCATGACCAACCAGGGCCGGGGACAAACTGCAACCGAGGTACGCGCCCTTAGCGGGAACCTAACCGGTCTCTCTGGACCGCAGGCCGACGCTCCAACCGCTGAGCCAAACCGGCCAGGGCTCATTCATTCCTTTTTTTAAAAAGTAATAATATTCATGGGTTGTAACTGCTGAATCTGTTTACCACTGTGTAGCTACTAATGTATCTCTTCAGCATTTTTTCTTTTTTTAAAATATGTTTTCATTGATTTTTTAGAGAGAGGGGTAGGGGGAAGGAGGAGGAGGAGGAAGAGGAAGAGAGAGAGAAAGAGAGAGAAACATCCATATAAGAGAGAAACATTGATTGGCTGTCTCCTGTGCTCCTCCTACTGGGGGTTGAGCCTGCAACCTGGGATTGTGCCCCAACTGGGAATCTATCCTGTGACCTTTTGGTGCATGGAATGATGCTCAACCAAATGAGTCATACTGGCCAGGGCTCCTCAGCTTTTTAAAAATTTTTACTAATAGTGTTTTTAACTTGGCTTTCTAGAGTTTGTCCCTGTGTCTGCATTGCTTAGTGCTTAGCTGATGATTGTTGGCAGTTGTGCTTGAATACCTTGAGCCAGTAAGGCCTATCCCTAACCCTAATCTTCTGCTGGTAGATTGTGTTTGTTTTGGGGCACACACTCAAAGTTCAGGTTGTTTCCAAGTTTGCCTCCTTTAATTTCTTTTGGATCTTCTCTGGTCTGCCTATGCCTGCATGCAGATTTCCAGTCAGCAGGGATGTGTGAGAGCTTGGTCTCTTTCAGGTCTACTTTTCTTTGGGCATGCCCCCACCCTCCCAATTAGCTGGCATTCCTGTGGGGCTTGGGAGTGCCTTCTAGCCAGGGTTGTGTGGAGGGCAGCAGTGCTCTCCTCTATATATGAATTCAGTAAGTTTCTCTCTGGCTTCTCCTTTCCAGGATCTCCCTGTTAAATGCTAGGAAGTCCTCAGGTTGGTAGCTTGCCTCAACTGGTACAGTAATCTCAACCTACAAGAATTGTATACTTTTCTGCTTCCTGCTGGGTGTGAGTTTTCTGCTCTCTGCTTCAAATCAAAGTCAGCCTCCTTCAGCAGTAAAGTACCTGGTTTTCACAGCCAACCTCACCTTGCTGGAACTGTGGTAAGCAGTTAGGCAGACATGAGCAGAACAGAGATAGGCCAGAAGGTCACCAGGGCCAAAAGTCCTGGCTGCCTAGTAATGGGCAGAACTGGGAAGACAAAGACTTAGCCCCTAGTGTAACCTTTCTTTTTCTAGTGTATTGCTGGTCATGTGGCTCAGACCCTCTCCTGACTTTTCCTCCCCTGACTTGTCGATAGTCATGTGGTAGACTCCCTTGGAGGAGGAACAAGGAGCTGAAGAATGGCCTCATGCAGTCCCTTACACGACCACTCTCTTAAGAATTAACTTGTAGGGATAACATCTCTAGGCCTCAGTTGCATTTCAGCTCCAGACCCAGAAAGGCAGCAAAACCAGACAAGCAATGCTATGGCTGACATCAGGACCAGCTGCATTGATTAATGACTCTGCCCTAGTGCGGACCAGTCAGTAGAGGCCATGACCCTGAAAGAACACATCTGGAAAGCTGATGAATATTCTTTTAAGATCCTCCCCTTAAATCCCTGTTCTTAAAAGCCTTTAGGACAGAAATCACAGCTCACTGTCCCTCTTGTGAGCATGTCAACATCTCTCTGGGCTCCCTTCTCTTACCCCCAGGCGTGATACCTTTAACCTTCTCTCTCCTAAGTTCCAAAGGCCCCTTCTTTTGCCTCTGTCACTTGTTGCCTGAGCCCATTTCTTCCACAGCTCACTTCTTCCAACTCTGTGACTTTCCAAATATACTTGATCTTATATTTTGAGTCTTAACTCTGAATTCTTTTTTTTTTTTATCCTCACCCGAGGACATTTTCCCATTTTTTTGTTCAGGTAGAGTGGGAGAGAGAGACAGGAACAGAGAGAGAGAGAGAAACATCAATGTGAAAGGGACACATCGAGTGGCTGCCACCCTCACGACTGACCAGGGCCGGGGACAAACTGCAACCGAGGTACGCGCCCTTAGCGGGAACCGAACCCGGGTCTCTCAGGACCGCAGGCGGACGCTCTAACCACTGAGCCAAACCGGCCAGGGCTTAACTCTGAATTCTTTTTAGCCAAAACTCAAGTTGCTGAATTGTGGGTCCGGTCTGATTCCTCTGGTCCAAACACCTGGTGCTATTTCTCTCCACCAACAGAACTACCATGTTGGTGGATTAGAGCAAAGGGATGGAGACAGCTCCTACTAAGATGCCAGACTTTTACTATTCTTCCCAAGAAATTCAGTTATTTTTCATGAATTAATTCTAATATTTTGGGTCTTTGGTTGATTTCTAGAGCACAAAATAGTTGTCTTTGATAGTCTGTTTAGTTTTATAAATTGTTTTTTGTACTCCTTCACTAGGGAAGACCAACTTAACAAATTGATTCTAAAACCTAGGAATATTACATATCAAAACCAAATTCTCTTTTCTCTAATTAATGCTTGAGGAAGGTGGTAGAGAACAACATGTAATTGTTTAAAAAGGGAAATGACAAAGAGGTGGACAGATGAATCTTGAATTAAAGTTTAGGTTTCTAGCCCTGGCCAGTTTGGCTCAGTGGTTAGAGCATCACCCTGCGGTCCAGAGAGACCTGGGTTTGATTCCCGCTAAGGGCACGGACCTCGGTTGCAGTTTGTCCCCGGCCCCTGTTGGGACATGCGGGTGGCAACCACTCGATGTGTCCCTTTCATGGCGATGTTTCTCTCTCTCCATCTCTCTTCCTCTCTCTCCCTCCCACTCTGTCTGAACATAAAATGGAAAAATGTCCTCGGGTGAGGATAAAAAAAGCTTAGATTTCTAAGTAGGAGACTTTTACCTCTGAAGAGATTGATTTGCAAGCTCAAACAGATTAAATGAATGATTTGGTGACTCTTGTGGAGGGTAGATATGTCTTGTTTCTTCTGAGTGAGCCAACTGTTGTTGACAGAGTATTTCTACAGTATTCCTCACTTTGTAACAGTTTTATGAAATAGGTATTGTAATTATGATCTTTTTCAGAAAAGGAAATTTTTAGGTTAGTGATTTAACCGTGCTCTCATCATTTGTATGTGATAGAGAGAATACTTGAACCCACTTCTTCTGACTTCTTGTTTTTTATACATTTATAACTGCTTTCCTACATGTCATAATTACTTGCAGACTCTTTGGTGATCTTAGTGTATTTATTTATGTAGGTGGTACTTGAAGTTAGAGCAGGTCATAACAGTCTTCTTCAATTTTTACTAGAACTCAGTTTCTTTGACACGATAATCACTTATAACTTTTGGAAGAGCCCCTATTCACTCATGCAGTTGTTAAGCAAATTGGTAAGAGTCAGAGAAAGAAATACCCCATGGCAGCTTCCTCTGCCAGCTTCCTCTTTTTTTCTTACTCCATAGATGCAGATACTGCCCAAGAAGCCCCTGCATTGCAGAGGGACTGGAGATCTGTATGATCTGTTTTTTCGCAGTTGACAAGGGTAAGGGGGCCTATGGGGGAGGCGCTTGGGTGCCCTGAATTTAGCTTTATGAAGCTGGGCTAACATTTATTTTGGGGATACTTAAATTTAGCATTTTAAAGAACTCTTTTATGAATTCTGTTTGTCCTATATCAGTTAAGTGTTAGAGTATCCTACTGAAAAACATTTATTGTTATGGTGATTTCCCTCCCCCCTTAAGTCCTATTCAAATCAAGTCAGACAAACATGTTTTCATGCTTGTAAAATTCCAAATCTGGAATTATTTAGAATATAAGTAATATTGAATATATGAAAGTAAAATTTCACTACAGTGAACATTTTAAAAGGTTGTGGATTAACATCTGTTTCTATAGCCCATCATAGTTCTTCTTTATTAATCTGCTCTGTTCCTTTTTCATAAATCTGTCAGTCTATGAGGTAAAAAAGGGACTTGTGGTTATGCCGTAAACACTGTGGGTGGGTGTGGAGTCTTTTTCTGGCTGCTAGAAATTAATACTTACTTCCTTGAATTCTTTGTTCACCCTAGATGCCAGTAAAATTGAGTTTATTTTCAGACTGTCCTGGATCTGTCTGTTAGTATAGGCGCAGGTGTAGTTGGTGAATCTTACAGCCAATATTAAGTGTTGTAGGTCTCACTTGGCAGGTTTATAGAACAAGTGGTATTAGTAATAGGATAGGATTAAAATAGGTGAGGAAGAGTTTAATGTTCTTTTAAAATTGCAGAAGGATTGGGCAGATTATTCTAGCTTTGATGGGTAGTTGAGAAGACTTGACTTGGTGATGGTCTGTCTGATGGGCTTATTTTTATTTTTGAGGATGTTATTCTACCTGGTAGTAAAATAGCTTTGTTTACCTAAAGAAGTATTGTACATTTCTGTAATTTAAATGGATGTTTTGAGTATTCTGTACCTCTCATTTTTTGTACCTCTTGTATTTTTAAATGGTCTTCTTTAAGAATTTAATTTATAGATTTTTTAAGAATTCAACAGTATTATGTGTATTATCTTTACCACTATTAATAAATGTTCCACTTTTTAGTGCAAACACATTGGAAACTATTTTTATTCTTGTACTTCTTAAGTGACTTTTTTTTTCTGTTTTCTTTAAGCCATAAGGATGAGTTTACCATTATTCCTGTACTGGTTGGAGCTCTGAGTGAGTCAAAAGAACAGGAATTCGGAAAACTCTTCAGTAAATATCTAGCGGATCCTAGTAATCTCTTTGTGGTTTCTTCTGATTTCTGCCATTGGGGTAAGTTCTAGATTTTAACATATCATGGTAGCTATTATATACTGTGGTTAAAGGTATCTTTTCATTCTAAGCTCTGATTTTCAGTTCTTTATCACTTTCTTTGGAAAGTTTTACTTGTAGCAGCAATGTTTAAAAGTGAATAAAAAGTATTTTGGTCATTTAAAAAGGATCAGATTATAATAGTGGGTATGGATACATTTCCAAAGGCGACTGGTATAATTGGATTCACACTGTGAGGGCATCCTTGCTTAGACACTTACTTCAGTGGGAGTTAAGATATTTTAACCCCATTTCCAGGTAGAGTTGTGTGGTAGGTGCCAATGTTGGTTTTTTTGGTGGATAAAATAAATGTTCTTCTTTAGAACAGAGAAGAGCACTGTGTGCGATGGCAGTCCTTTTGCACATTTCCTGTTTTGTAATTAGTCTTTTTTTCCTTTGATGCTTAATTTTTGCCCATAATTACCACCATTTTAGAGCTACCCTCCAAAGATTGTAACACGTTGGCTATTAGCACTGTGGTCTTCATTGTAATGGTGTATAAGGATAAGGACTCCTAAGTGATTTTTGTTGTTATTGTGAATTAAAAGAATAAGGAAGCTTCACAGTGAATAGATAATAAAGAAAGTGAGACATTTATGGAGGCCTTTTTTTAGTAAATTTTGATTTACAAATTCTTTGGACAAAATTTGCTCTCATTTACTGTTCTAGAATATTTCTGAATTCTATTCTTTGTAGGTCATCTCTTTGACTTATGTGTTTATTGGTTTAAGGATGCCAATATCTATTCATCCTTCATTTATTTCTTTGATTGTAGAGAAAAACATAAGGCACAAGACCATACACTTTAAGGTGGAGTGCTAGAATGGCCAGAAAAACAATATATAGGGACCCTGGCTTTTCACATCTTTCCCATTGCTTGCCAGAGTTGATTCAACATTTATCTGGCCTATTTAGGCCGCTCTTTCTTCTCTTATGTTGTGTCATGAGTGGCCTTGAGATTTTAGCTCAAGAGAATCATCCTTCCTAATGGTATGGATAAATATTTTTGTTTAAGGCATTACTTTCTCAACTGGGGCGATTATCCTCTGGGGGCATTTGGAAATGCCTAGATACATTTTTGATCATCACAAACCGGGGTGGGGTGGGAGGTGGGGATCTATTGGCACCTAGTGAATACAGTTCAGGGAAGCTGCTAAATAAACATCCTGTAATGCACAGGAAAGCCCCCTACATCACAGAATCATCCTGGCCACAATATCAGTAGTGCTGTGGTTGAAAGCCCTGGTGTAGGGTGTGCAGGTAGCTGTCATGCTTTGCTAAACCTCCTCAGAGGCTCTCAGGTTCTTTAATAACAAGTCCTATTTCTACCTATGGCAGAAGTTATTTTTCATGGATATAACTATATTACTTACATCTGAGGGCTAGGTAGATACTTAAGAAAAGTTTCTTGGGAATTCTGAAGTTTAGTAATAGTTGATCTTTAAAAATTAAGGTGTATCATATTGAAACAAAAGGCTATTTTTCTTTAGTGTTATACATTTACATTGGTAATAATGTTTTAGAAATTAAAAATTCTTGAAGCATGTGCCCCTTCTCTCTTCATTTTTAAAGCTGTTATGAATCACTTTCAATCACTCTGATTTAAGTAACTGGTTCTTGTGACACAGTTTTTCAGAGTCTGAGCTCTTCTGGTTGGCACCAGGTGCAACCACAATATAAATCCACATAACACATCTGTGGACACCTTGATATTGCTTTTCTGTGGTATCATTCTTTTTACCTCATTAATGAATATGAAAGTAAACAAACCCTACTGCACTACTATATTTGAGTACAATGTTCAGAGAAAAACGAATTTTGTTTTACATTCTATCTATATTCACAGCAAATTTTTTAGGTGATCTGATCTCCTGATTCTTGAAAATTTTGGTATTTAAATTGTAAGATAGGATTTTCTAGTGATATACTAGCTATGGGAGGATAAACATAGACTAAAACATACTTATATTTACATCTGGTTAAGTAATAGAACTTTTTCAGCTGTTTGTTTTTTGGTGTTACTATCACTAACAGTATTCAGTAAGTGCTTATTTTGTACTTAGGGAAAGCACTGTACTAATTCTTATAGGAAATTTGGTTGAGGTTTGGGGGTAGGTAAGTCGAAGGTGTTGCATGGATACTGTTCCAAAATTGGTAGTCTCCTTTCTGCAACAGTAGTAGTAACTGTTATTCTTGTAAAGTAAGATTATTTTCTATTTAACCTCCCTACTGAAGTAATAAGAATCATTGCCTAGTTATTGGTTAAACTGCCATAGAAATTGTTTCTTATTTCTCAAATTCATGCTTTAGTGGCATTACTCATCTTTCCTAAATTAATGAGTACGATAGTCCCATTTAAAAAATCTAGCTTTTTCTCATGAAGATAAAATACATAGTGATTTTCTTCTTCTTCTTTTTTTAAAGATACTATACGGTTTGATTTTACCATGTCAAAATAATGACAACACTGAATTATAAATCATTTCACAGGAAGGATTCAGTTCCTCAAGTTCTTAGAGATTTTTAAAACTTTCTTATGATAGGCTCTTAACACATACCATATTTCTAAATAGCTGGGTTTTGTTTTTGTTTTTTAAGAAAAATCACTTGATTGATTATGGTATAGTTGATACAATAACTCAGATATATATAGTGGACATTTTTTTTGTTCTTGTTGAATAATATATTAGAGTATTGGCAATAACACTTTTCACTTCTGTTCATTGTTTCTCTGTATAAATTGTCCATCTTCTGTGAAAAATAAGGTGAGAAACTTGGTGGTTGAGACAGTTGGGAGATGTATATGTAGTTGGAAGAATGCTGCCTTGTTAACTTTTTATGTTAGCCAGTGTCCATTTATATGAAAAATTTCCTTAAAAAAAATCCCCACTGGAAGATATTTTTTTTCATTTATCTTCAGATAAGGTGGGGGTGGGGGAAAGGGAAAGAGAGAGGGGAAAAAAAAAATCCATGTGAGAGAGACACATCGATTGGTTGCCTCCTGCACAACCCTGACCAGGGCCAGGGCCTGAATCACAACTGAGGTACATGCCCTTGACCAGAATTGAACCCATGACTCTTTGGTCCACAGGCCAATGCTCTGTCTGCTGAGCCAAACCAGCCAGGGCAGAAAAATTTCCTTTTTTGTTTTCAAAAACATTTTTTTTTCTTTATTGATTTTAAAGAGAGCGGAAGGGAGAGGGAGAGAGATATAGAAACATCAGTGAGAGAGAACATCGATTGGCTGCCTCCTACATGCTTCCCACTGGGGACTTGGCCCATAACCTGGGCATGTGCCCTGACCAGGAATCGAACCAGTGACCTCTTGGTGCATGGGTCGATGCTCAACCACTGAGCCACACCAGCTGGACAAATTTCCTTTTTTAAAGTTAATTTGCGTCCAGCCGGTGTGGCTCAGTGGTTGAGCATCGACCCATGCACCAAGAGGTCGCCGGTTCAATTCTTGGTCAGGGCACATGCCCAGGTTGTGGACCTGATCTCCAGTCGGGGGCACGCAGGAGGCAGCTGATTGATGTTCTCTCTCGTCAATATTTCTCTCTCTCTCCCTCTCACTTCCTCTGTCTCTAGAGTCAGTAAAGGAAAAAAAATTTTTTAAGTGTATTTTGCTTTAAAGATGCTCACCTTTCAGATCCCATTTAGCTTTATTCAGACTTGAAAGAGATATTTAGAGAGATAAAAAGTACAAAGACTAAAATACTCTGAAGTTTTTGTCATGGGTGAGATGAGCGAAGGGAGAGTTGGGAACTTAGATTCTCTTATGCCCCTATTTCTGCCCCCCAAAGCCTGCATTTCAGCTCTTGCCTTTTATCTTGTCAGTAGTCAGCCCAATAGGATGATGTTTTCCAGTTAACGCTTATAATGATTCCACCCCTTTTTCATCTTTCCTGTTAACTGTCAGGAAGAGTGACTTAAGTGAAAGGACATTTGCTGCAAGTATTTGGTTAAATAATATTGTCCCCATACTTTGCATACTTAACAAGTTCCCCATCCTATAGGATGACTTCATATGAAAGAACTCCGCATCTATTTTAGTTTTGTAATTAGCAGAATTTTTATACGTTACATTTTTATTCTTCTTCATAGATACTATAAATATTTGTGTTTTCTTGACCTCCCTGAAATTTAGATTATTAATAACTTTTATTAACAACATTTTTAGTTAGCTTTAAAGAAGTTTCTAAGTGAAACTGGATCTAACAGAAATTGATTATTTAAGAGTAGCTTCATGCTTTTATTTAATTTTCCTGTTATGGTGGTTTTAGGAACAAATCAGTTTTAATAAAATTTACTTGGTGAATATTAGTGATACATTATATTATTTTGTTAAAATATGAATAAAATTTACTTCTGTGACTTCAGCAATTTTTGATTTTTACTAATAAACTTACATTTGTCTAGGTTTACATAATTTCTCTTTTCATAAGTTCCACTTATTAAAATGGTATTTTCCTAAATATTTATATCTTTATTTAGATTTCTACTTTAATATACACTAAAATGATTATTCACACATATCCTTCTTCCTTTCTATTGTTAGTCTTTTGGGTTATGAGGGTATTACCTTTTTGTAAATATTTAATTTGCTTTGAGTTTAAGTTAGCTAATTCCTGAAATATAGCTTATTCTTGCTTTGATATTTATCCAGTACTGATTTCACATATTTAGGTTTTCGATCTTTTGCAAGTTTGAGAGAAGGCTAATACTTTTACATCATAACCAAGATTTCAGAATGAAAGGACTGTAGTATTTTGCTTATAAAAGTGATTACCTTATTTGATGCTGCTGAGAATGTATTTCCTTTGTGAAATGCATTTTTTTCCCTTTGATAGTGATTTTAGTTATGAGCGTCCCCAGTTTTAGGTCCTTAGCACTCTACCTCACAGGTTCTGAGGTTTAAATAAAATATCTTAAAACGTTTTAACATACAAAGTGATTAAGTAAATGTATAACAGTACAGTTTTTACTGGACACATGTCTGAAAGCCTGTCTTATTGACTGATCTTTTGAGGGCTTTATAGATCAACTTTACAAACTCATTGTGTAATTCCACAATCCAGTGTATAGCTTCATGTTGAGGTTTCAAGGTACTTGAAAAGTAGTGTTGGTTCTTGTACCATTCATTGTTATGTTTGTCCTCATTAGTTGATTGTTGTGTGTTAAACAGACATCCCTGGAGCTTATTCTCCACACTCTGTGAATCCACTCATTAATCACCAGTCACCTTTGGAGATGGGAAAATTACTTACCTGTATTTCTTTTTCTCAGAAAGCGTGCTCTGGAATGGATTCACAAATGAGCTACCCTCCTTCCCTCAAAGAGTAAGGTTTCTGCTTTACAGGATTTTTTTCTTGGGTTATTTTTTCTCTCATCTTTTGAATTTGAAAAGAACTGAGGGAAGGCATCTGAAGAAACTACTGACATACTCACTAGGGGAGTTCCAAAGCTTGTGCTGCCCCTAGGGGCAGTGTCAATGGCTCTTAAAGCTAGAAAGCTCATACTTGGAGTTGAAACAGGGGCTCAAAGAATCCATTTTCCCAGTGTACCTTCTGAAAGGATAAGTTTCAGGTAAGTAATTTTCTCTTACTATGTGATATGCTTTATTCATACTTATAAAAGTACACAAGTCCAGTTCTCCAGGTGCATAGGCAAGTGTATTTGTGCAGTTTAGGTTGATAAGCTTGTCTGCTCGTGAGGTACATGAAATGATACATATATTATGAATCAACAATAAATAATTAAATGTACGTTTATGATCAGGGCATTGTGCTAGTGTTGTCATTTCTTTTATTTCTTATTATATAAAATCTTGATAAACTTATTTTTTTAGTAATTAGAAATCAAAAGATCTTTTGAACTCAAATTCCAAGCAGTGTTTACCTAAAATTGAGTGTGTATTGGCACACGCATGCAATACACACACACACACACACACACACACACACACACACACACACAGGCTATGATAATGGCAGTTATTTACTTTATTTCATTTTTAATGTGCTATTATTGATTTTAGAGAGAAAGGAAGGAATAGGGAGAGAGAGAAACATCTTTGAGAGAAACATTGCTCGGCCTCCTCCTGCACGCCCCCTACTGAGGATCAAGCCCCCAACCCAGGCATGTGCCCTGACTGGGAATTGAACCAAGGATCTCTTTGTGCATGGGACCTCGCTCAGCCACCTGAGCCACATCAGCCAGAGCTAGTTATTTTCTTTAAATTAGATGCTGTCTGTTTGTATATTGACCAGAATGAATTTCTGAAAAAATTTTAAAATATTAGTACAATTAAAAAAAATTATTGTGAGACAGTTTGTGCGTTTATGAGTAAGATTTTTTTTCAGTGTAGTTAGCTATATGTAGAGTGGATTTAACTTCTTAACAGAGGGCTTCTTTAGAGCTCATCAAATATTTCTACTCAGTTCTTCAACTACTAAATGCAGGGTGGCTACTAAAGAGTAGCAAAAAGTAGATAGCAAAATATTAAATATTGACCCATTGACTATTTTGTGTATTTTGTTTTATTAAATTACATATTGATTTAGTATTTTAAAGTTTCAAACATTCTATGTACTTTTACTTAAGAAGTAGTTTTGAAATGAAACTTACCTTTAAAATGGTCCATATGAACAAGACAGCATTTAAAAATATAGTTACACTTTTCACTTAGGATTAAGGCAGGTTTGGCCACCTTTGACCATTTGAAACAGTAGCTCTGAACTTGGAAATAAGCAAAACAAAACTTTTGAGTAGCAAATGGCAATCACAAAGTACATGCATTTTTCTCTGCACCCATGAGTTAGGAGTCTTCAGAAAAGGCAGTTGTATCCTGGTCACAGGGATTCTTGACACCTAAAACTAGTAGCTATCTCCAGAAGCAAGAAAAAAGAAAGCATTAGTATATACCTGAAACAGTTCAGCTTCAAAGAACATTCATCTTGATTTCTTACAAGGCTGTTAACTCTTACTACAGTGACACTGAGTGAGAATTTCCTTGTCTAAGAGTATTCATTTAATTGTTCATTTAAATACTTTGGGCAGCTTTATCAAAAGAACTTGAAATTAAGTAAACATTTAATACGAATGATTTGAATCAATAAATTATTGTGAGAGACTTTGAGCCTTTTGACAGTTACCTGGCAAATAGGAAAAATGGGATAAATTATATAATTTTCATTATTAGATAGAAGGAAGTATGTAAATTCTTTAAAGACAAATAATTCTATACTTAATCCTAAATTTTGAAAGAAATGTGCGTTGATTTATTTAATATAAGGGCATTGAGTGATGAACTGTCACTGTTTAAGAATGTATTTAGTGCAAGGACTATTATTCAATATTTACAAAAAAAATTTTATATTTAGGAAGCAGATAATTGTCTCCGAACTTATTGCTTTATTCTAGGATATCATGTAAGATGCAATATTCATTTAATAATAGCTCTTGGGAGAAAAATAAGAACTGCCACATTGAGTAATTGTACATAGTAATGTATGTGAAAAGTTAAAATGTGACAGTTAAGGAAATGTATATATTGTAGAAAGGTGACCATCAAAGATGATCAGCATCAAAAGTAAATGAAATTTTAAGAAATATGATGTCTGTTTTTTTTTTTTAAAGACATCAAAAGCGTTTTATAATTTTGCAATGCTCATTATTTATAAGATGGTATTTTTTAGCAAGGTAAACAGAAAACTTAAAGATCTTAATTATCCTGCCTAAGAAATCTGTCTTCTCAGTTGTGAGGATAATAATTGGATATGTGAACTTGCTCTCAAAATGAATCACAAGACATATAGTGTGTGCATACATGATTGGTGTGCTGTAATACCTTTAGAAATGCATTTTGGTGAATCTTTTAAAATAAATATAAAGTAATGAGTTCTTGGAAATAAAGGTGTTGTTGAAAGAAAGATTTAGATGCAACATAATCAATATAATAACAATCCACAGTTAGGTATGTGGGTTTAGAATATGTTGCTTTTGGTTTTCCTATGACTTGAATAGGAAGCAAAATTTGTTTCCCCAGTCTTTTGTTTTCTGTCTTCTTTTTGAGCTTCTTCCATTTTACCCTCTGTTTGGAGAACAGCTAAACATTCAATATTCTGTGCTTGGACCCTTATTGAAATTTTATTGTTAGACTAGGACTATTCTATTCTTTTATGAATCCTATTTTAAGGTACATGTATAGATCCTTTTCCAAGTAGAAAGTTTTGCGAAAATGAGATAAAATTTTTTGAGGTAATAAAAAATCACACAAACCACATGTATCTCTGATCTACACTTTTTTTTTTTTTTCTGTAATAGAGATAAAATCTTTTCATTTGTACAGCAAAAGCTAAGCTTTCGTTGACTTGTTACATTGAGAGTTTCTTTAAATCAAATTTTCTTGCATCATATTCTTTGGGTTTACTCTCCATTGTAGATTGATATAATATATTTAACAATGCTTCTAACTTTTAAGCTGTTTTGTTTCCTTAGTCTTTTGTATTGCTTGTGACTATAAGGTTTTACAATTTGAAATAGTTTTTAACATAAAACACTGGTGATATATCATTTCTTTATTACCTTCCCAAATATGCCTTTTATTTTTATGTACAAGGGCTCTTGGGAGTGATTCTCTCAGAGGCTTAAGCTGTGCTTTGCCTTCCTTGAGAACTGAAATTATTTGGTAAGCGCTTGCTTTCTTTTTAGCTTCTAATTTTTCCCTATTTTATTTTGTACATGATATTTGTTTCAAGGTCAAAGGTTCCGTTACAGTTACTATGATGAATCCCAGGGGGAGATTTATAGATCCATTGAACATCTAGATAAAATGGTAAGTCTTTCAGGTGTGGGGTTTAATACTCTAAAACTTTTTCTTTAATTTCAGATTAGTGATTCAAGACTTAATATGTTGAACTATACAATGGACTAATGATTCTTTATCTTTAAATGTGCAAAATATAGTTTGTAATAGTATTAATTATACAAATAATTCCTCTTGTATTGGAGATTTTCTTCATCTTAATTTTATTTGATTAATGAGACTACTTAAGAATATTTAGATATGGATTTTTTATATTATTTGGGGGAGTATGTTAGTTTTAGAGAAACAGGGTACTAATGTCAGTACTTACTGTTAAGAAGACACAATCAGAGCAAATTCTTAGTTTATTTTATTTAATTCTATTTTTGGCCATTTTATTTTATTATTTAATTCTATTTTTGGCCATTTAGATTTTTCTTAAATGAAATTTCAGTTACTTTAAATATAGAATTTAAAATGATTTTATTTGTACCTAGCCCAGGAATATAGTAGACATTGATCCTGTCATTTTCCTTGAAGTAGTATGGTAGTCATAAACAGAATATTAAACCTAGCAGATATATCACTAACTTGCTCTGACCTTTGACAGATCCTTTCAGTTCTCTAGTCCTCAACTTGTCATCTCTGAGAACGAGAGACTTGGAGTAGATGGTCTCTAAATTGTCTTTAAACTGTATCAGCCTTTAAGTCTACGATTTGTTAAAATCAACTTTACCACTGTGTCAGAAGCTTTATGCATATACTTTAGTACAAAAATATTTAGTCTATAGTAGATAAAACATTTTAGCAAGGAATCTGGATCTGAACCTAGGTAGATTATATTGCATAGTATATTTTATTAAAAGCTAGATGGAATGAATACAAATTAAGAGGTTTTTATCATATTTAAATTTATTTTGTTGCTTTAAATACAATTATCGCCTAATACTTTTACCTTTGGGATTTTCTCTAGATTTTAGTTTACTGACTTTTCTTTTAGCTTTATTATGTCCTTTCAGTCATTTAATTCTTTTCTGGCTTCTAGTTCTAATCTTATTTTTTTCTGAGCTTTAGTTATTGGTTGCTTCTGAAAACTGTTCTGGTTCTTTCATCACTTACTTTCTTCCTTACTGGGTGTCTGCTGTGTATCTGGTACTCTGTGTAGTATTGATGATATTAAGAAGAGAAAACATGGTCTGTGACTTAGTGGAAATTACAGTCTAGTCTTAAAAATAAGTTATTACAGTATAGAGATGTAAGAGATATTTAGGAGGTAGTATGGACACACTGTTCTTATTGTTCTTCAAATAATGCCATATATGTACCTAGCTTAAGACTTTTTGCACTTGACTATCTCACTTACCTTGTGGCTTTGCTTAGCTTTCACCTTCCCATTGAGGACTACTGACCACCCTATTTAATTTTGCATCCTATACACTCAACCCATTCAGCATTCCCAACCCACCTTACCTTGCTCTACTTTTTTTTTCTAACAAACTGAATATTTTACTTATTTATCACAATTAAGTTAGTTAGGTCATTTTTTCTTCACAGATGTAGCAGAAGTGCTTAGAATAATTATTAGAACATAATAAGTTAGATGCTCAATAAATATTTTTCAAATGAATTAGTGCATATGACCTTCTGATATACATAATTAAATTAAATGAATGCCCTAAGTGTAAATGAGAAAGAAATAAATGAAAGTAATTCATAATAAATTAATATCTATTTAATAATGTAAACACCCAGGAACAACTGGATTAGTAAAGACATACTAAAGTAGCTAAATGCTTACACACATAGTATCATTAATATAACAACTACAAGTGCAAATTTAGTAAAGTTGTAAATTAAAGTATACAGTCTTCCTTCACTTAGTAAGGGAAATCTGTATATTAAAATCATATAAAGCTTCTTTATGTTTGTATGTAAAATGGAGTTAGGATGTAGATAATTATAAGCAGGTTTTTTTCACCTACATGGACTTCTGAAAGTGTCATGGGATGAAAACAATACTGGGGGGGATGTCCTGTATTGCAGGGCAGTCAGCATCTCTGGACTCTACCCACTAAATCCCCCAGTAGCATCTTCTCATTATTGAGACAAACCCAAAAATATGGCCATGATTTTTCATTATGCCCCTGTGGTAAACAATTGTTCTGCTTCATTCTTCATCTTACTGCTTATTACTATGTGACTGTGACTTAATATTTGTTGATATGTTTGGTGATAACCTTCCCTATTAGATTATAAGCTTCATGAGATCAGGATCTTGGTCCATTTTGTATCTGCTGGTCAGTGGGTACTCAGTATGCATTCGTTGAATGAATCGATGGGGTAGTGGTGAGAAATGAAGCTTGAGAATTTAGAACAGGCTGTTTAAAGAACATTAAATAGGAAAGTGGTCAAATCAGATTATATTTGAATAGATCATATAGCGGCAGGGGAGCAAATGGATTGGAGGGATGCCAGAGGAGAAATGAGTAGACTAGTTGGGTAGTTCAGGTGAGAAATGATAATTTAGACAGTGGATGGAGTAGTGATGGTGAAAGAGAGGGGGACAGAGTGGATGTATTCAGTATATTTAAAAGACAAATTTATAATAGGACTTGGAGAAGGAAGTTTCGAGGATGGCTCCTAAATACGTGGTTTATGCTGCTGGTAGATGTTGCTATTCACTTAGGTCAGAAACATAAGCAGATAGGGCCAGATTTTTAGGAGGTAGGGAGATTGTAAATCCTGAGAGGAAATATGTGCTATTGCTTTTAAGACATTCAAGTGGGAGAGGTCAGTCAAGTAGGCATTTGGATTTTCATCTTGCCAGTTACTTTTGAGGGCATTTATAGTGCAGGAACTGGTGGAGATAAGACAATAAACAAGCAGACCTGATCTCACAGAACTTTTATTCTAATGGGAGGGAGATACACATTGTTTCAAAAAAGATAAGGATGTATGTAAGTTAGTTTCCAATAGTGATGTGTGCTTTACAGAAAATATTGAAGTGGTTTGAGATAGAAAATGATTCAAGGGTGATTGGAGAAAGACTTCCTTGCGGAGGAGCATTAAGTTGAGATATAAATGATGAGGAGGAGCAAATCAAGTAGTGATCAGAGGGAAACCTAGACCTAAGGAACTGCCAGTGTAAAGATGGGAACAATGCTGGTGTATTAGAAGAAAAGAAGAAAGGCCAGTGTTGCAGTAGTGTAGTAGGTAAGGGTAGCATGGTGCAAGCTGTGATGAGAGAGATGGGCAGGGATAAGGTAATGCAGGGCTTTATATTTCAGGGTACGGAATTTACCTAAGTGCAGTGGGAAGTGAGATGATGTAATTTACATGATTTTAAAGGTTACTCTGGCTGTTGTGGAGAATGGGTTCTACAGCAGGGTCAGGAGTAAACAGTGGACATTGGCAGTGTTTTAGGGAGAGATGATAGTTGGTAATTAAAGCCAGGGCAGAGAGATGAGATTGTCTCCTATAGTAATCATCAGTTCTGTTTTTGAAACTGAAATAATCTGTGGAACTTTTTCAAAATAGACTTGCCCATACTTGCCCTTGGAGATCCCCTTTCATTAGTATGGAAAGAGTCCAACATCTTTATTCCTAAAATGGCTTTGTAGGTAAATGTGAACTGGCCCATTATGGTTCCTCATTTGTTGAAGTGGAACAAAATTTCCTTGTTTTTTTGTTTTTGTTTTTCTGTTTAGCTTTTTATGTCATTTGTGAGCCCTAATCAGGCAGCATTTAATTTCGCAAATGTAAGAATTATGCTTTTTGCATAAGAAAGATGTTTTCCCCAAGTGAGCGAACATGATAGCATCGTTTGGAACTCTCTAGAATTGTGTTCACATTAAATACATTAATATTCTTTGTTATTCTGTATTTATGTTATAAATAAACATCCACACTTAACAATTCTTTCAATTTTTCCACTAAATCTATGTTGTTAGTTTATATTAAGAGTACTAGCTTAATTTGCCTCTCTTGGTATATATAATCAGTTAGATATTTAGCTGTTTTCTTACTTTGAGGCAGAGCAAAAAAGAGTATCATTTATCCTTTGGCATGATTCTCATAACTTTTCCTGAAATTGTTGCCTTTTTCTGCTAGCTTCTAAGTCTTTGGAACTTCAAAAGTATAAGACCAGTGAGCTTTAGGTGACTTCTAAATCTGCATCTGATTTACCTTACTTTAGATGTCCAAAGTTACCAGAGCATAACTTTACAAATTTTAACCAAAGAACTTATACGATAAATGCATTGCTTATGGACACAGACAATAGGGTGATGAAGACCTGGGGTGGGGTGGGAACTGGGTGGAGGAGGGCAAGGGGAGAAAAAAAGAGGGACCTCTGTTAATAACTCTCAACAATAAAGATAAATTTAAATTTCTTTATTTAAATAGCAAGGAATTCAATTTCTGAATACATATTGAGTATTTGCTTCATATTAATATGCTTGATTTTAATATTTAATATAACATTTGACTTGGAGTTGATGTTTGTTGTCCATTTATTGAAACATTTCTATTTATATATATAAATTTTTTAAATGGCTTATTAGTGTTATGTTCTTTTATTAGCCTGCTGTTAACTCAAGTTATAAGTTAATTCTGGGAGTTAGGACAAATGGATTAAAATAAGAATGATTAGCTCTGTTTGTCATGTATGTATGTTTTTTACATGTATGTATATATGTACTCTCACTATTAGGCAGACTCTTATATAATGGTGTTTTCTCAATTGATTTATATAACCAAATGGTGAATATCCCTCTATATATTCCTTTTTTACAGTGCCATTTTATATTAAACAATGTCATTTAATTGAGAACCAGTATCTTAGTCCTATATGCAGTCTTTTCAGAGTAAATACAGTGTCATCATTGGTTCTCTTTGAGTATTACAAACATGTTAGTAATTCTGAATTATAATAATTACATTTTTGAAAGTTTGATACAAGTGAAAAAGTATTTTTAAGTATAAAACTTTAGATTTAACCTGTTTAAATGATGTGTGTTAAGTTTTGGTTCTTTTTTGTTATCAGAAAAGTCTTGTTAAATGTAGTTATTAAAAAGCTAGAAAGTGAAATTCCAAAAGCAAATGAAAAATAGCTGTTTTTGTTACAAAATGTTTATATCTCTAGCATTTGAGTATCTTGGAAATTAAGTATGTGAAAAAATACATACATAAAGAAAACAAACTGGATCTTCCAAATGTTGTATTTGATGAGGGGTGGGGAGGGGGTGGAAGGTAACTTACAGTAGATTCTGAAAGTTATAATGTTATCTGCTACTGACCATGTTTTTTGGTAATTAGGTTTTTGTAATTTAGTACTAAAAGTGACCAAAGCAGAACATATTTTAAGACACTGATTTTTCTTAACTTTTTCGATTATATACTTGAAATATTAGTCATACTTATACATATTTTATATATATATTATATGATCATATGTTATTTTTTTCTGTACCACTTCTGATGTAGACCAATGTTTCAATATGGACATTGGCAAATTATTTATGATTTGGCAGAGAGAATCTGAAAATGTCATTTTAATCATTCTTATAACTTTTCCTTCTACATTTATTAGTAGTCACTTCATTTTCTTTGAACTTCAACTACTTTTCTTCTTACTCTTTTGAAAGTGAACTTTTTAATATTTGTCTACACATACTTCTTACACCAGTAGTTTCTTTGTAGTCTTTAGTAGTTTTAAAATATCATCTTTAAGATAGCTGTTTAAGATAATGATTTAAGATATGTCATCTTTAAGATAGTATGTTGGTTCTTAGCACTGCTATCTTTAGGGTGATCCCCCCATAAAATTTCTTCCACTATATGATTTTATCTTGATGCCTCTTACAGAAACCAGAATATTTCATGTTCTCATCTTACCTCCCTAAATGTGTATCTATCTTTCAACATAAATGTATATTCTTATTTAAAAAGGAGTCCTAATGATTTGATAATATGGTGATTAATTATGTGTTCATAATTAGTTTTTTCTTTTTAATCCTCACCTGAGGATACCCATAGATTCTTTCAGACAGAGTGGGAGGGAGGGAAGGAGGGAGGAGTAGAGAGAGAGAAAGAAAGAGAGAGAAACATTGATGTGAGACAGACACATAGATCGATTGCCTCCCGCATGACCCTGACTGGGTCTGGAGATCAAACCCGCAACCAAGGTATGTGCCCTTGACAGGGAATCAAACTTGAGGCTCTTTGGTCCTCTGGCCGATGCTCTAACTGCTGAGTCTAATCAGCCAGGGCTGTGTTCATATTGAAAAGACATGATTCTAGTTTTTCTTAAAGGCTTTTAGCTACTCTTTTGTGTTTGTTATTTTAGAGGGAGATTACTTCTGGGTGATAATACTTAAAATTACATAAAATTATTTTATTATATATAGATACACATATTTGGTAATATGTTTTTATTGATTTTGTTTCTTTAGAGAGACAGGAAAGGAGAGAGAAATAGAAACATTGATATGAGAGAGAAACATCGGCCGCCTCCTGCATGTCCCCCATTGGGAATTGAGCCCACAACTGGGGCATGTGCCCTGACCAGGAATCAAACCAGGACCTCTCAGTCCATGGGATGATGCTCAATCCACTGAGCCACACCAGCTGGGCTAGATACACTTCAAAAATTTTTTTAATTTTTTTCTTTATTGATTTTAGAGAGAGAGGAAGGGAGAGGGAGAGAGAGATAGAAACATCAATGAGAGAGAACATCAATTGGCCACCTCCTACATGCCCCCACAGGGGATCTACAACCTGAGCAGTATGACCTGACCAGGAATTGAACCGGCGACCTCTTGGTGCATGGGTCGATGTTCAACCACACTGGCTGGGCTAGATACACCTTTTTTAAAAGGGGAAGGTTTTGTTATTTTACCAGAGACCCGAATTTAAAGTTTTGTTTGTTAAGACTGCATGTGTAGTTTAGGAGTGCCACTGGGATTTGACATTGCAAGGTTTTGTCCATTACTTGGAGGGTGAGCATAATGATAGATTCCCTCTGTTCTTGTCCCCCTCAAGGTAGAGAGTTTCAATCTGAGGATGTCTTGCTGAAGCTATAAATTCCACAGAAATCCAGTCTATGATGGATACACTTTTGGTGTTTATGTCTGATTTGTATCTTAGAACTGAATGGGTAGTGACCCACTTCACTGCTTCATATTAGATTAAATTCATGTGAACAAATAGTCAGTATACTACGATCTAGGCAAGCTTTCTGTTGCCTGTCGCTTAGATTCACTGATCATGTCTTGCAGTGTTTTAAGAAATAAAAAAGTTAATTGGGCATATTTGAGAAGCATTTATTTTTTCATCATGAAATTTTAGTAATAGTAATTTCAAAATTGTTAGCATCAAAACATAAATATATACAAAAGCATATTTGCCAGTGTTCTGTATTAGTGAATTGATGTCCCATTTTGCAATTTTATTGTCGCTATTGCTATTATTTGTGTACTTCATGAATTTTTCAATTGTAAAGCCTTAACTTTTCTCTTTATCCCTCTTTTATTAAAAGGCATACCTCTTAACTATCATATTCATCAGAGAATTGAGTGTAATGGAATTGATTCTTGACCTAGTAGGTACATAACACACTTTTGGGAATTAAAATTTTAAATTTAATCTTATATTCCATCATTATTATTTCTTATTGTTATAATTTAACCATTATCTTCATTTTGAACACTTTATTTAGTAGTGTCTTCTACATTTATAACTATATCTTTCAATATGAAATTTATTGGTCAGTTGCTTTGAATTCTTTGTCTTCTAAAGTGGGATCATTAATTTCCTTCTCTTTGAATTCCTTATGTCATTTAAATTTCATAAGTTTGTTCAAATATGTGCTTTGAGATTTTAATACTAAAACGTACATTGGAACCTCAATGTCGCATAATTTATTAATGAGTGGAATTCTATTTAAGGTAAGCTGTCCTAAACCTCATCCAAGAGCATTAAATTTCTCATATAATACATATACCATATTATTTAAAGAGATTATTTAAAAGATTATTGGTATGTCTTTTGTTATACTGTATATAGCAGAGTAGTCATTGAGAAATAGCCTAGGATTAGAAAGTTAAGAGGCAAGCTTTTAACCATTTTTATGTCTCAGTTTCTTCATATTTAGGGGGTTATATCTAGATATCTGTGTTTATGGAAGATTTATTAACTTCATTTCTGTATTACTACTTGGCTTAGAAATATATTGTGTGATTTTTCTTTGCACCAGAATTATAGTACTAATTGTTTATCTTAGGTTTAACTTTTAAGTTAGTTCATGTGTCTCTGAACTTATACCAGCTGTTAGTGGAGACTGTTGATGTGGAAACCTTGTAGCTGGCAGGGGAAAACCAACTTAGCATTAATCACTGGTTGTCGATAAGTCTGAGAATGGCTAATTGATGTGCAAGCAGTTGAAAGTTGATTATATATGCATATGCCTATCTTTTAGATGTAGTTGTAGAAGAATGTGATAATGTTTATGAAGGACTTGAATATTCTGAAAAAAGTTTATTAATTAAATTCTGATGCTGCCACTGTAGTATTTATATGTCACTTCCTGATTACAATAATTTTTCAGATGACTGTTCATCTGATTATTCTAGGTGCTTTTGCGCCATTGCTTGTTTTGGTGAAACATGTTGAAATATAATTTTAAAATCACACAAAATATATTAGTTAGTTTCCTAGTTAAACTACCATTTACATTTCTCCCAGAGGATATTAATCCAGTTTATTGGACACAAATGTAAAGTATTTTACCAGACTAAAACAAGGTAAGGTAATTACTGAATGAATGAGCTAGAATCATGAATTTATTTGCCCAATTCAGATGAGTTAAAGTTGCTCTAGATTAACATATTATGAAGATGTTATTTGAATGCATCTGCAGAATATGGACTTTAGTGCAAACAGGTATCCAAGTCATAGTGATTGTTTTAATAGTAGTCTATAAACATTGATTCTGAACCCAAATCTTGAAAAAAAGCATTCTACTTTAAAGTATTAAAGAGATAAAAAGCTTTTTTTTTTTAACTTATTCATAAACGACATATTTTGTTAACCTTTTATAGGCTTTAAATTAATTAAAAATATGTAAATTTCTTTTTAATTTGTAGTTTATCATATACCTAGATAATTACTGATAATTTAAAATGTCTTGCACACTGTTAATATTTAAGCTTAGTTATGAAAATAGGTAAATTACAACCAACTCTTGATTATGTCAATGGTAGGAGAAATATAGTGGATATGGGGAAAACAGGCATATATCAAGTTTAATTTTAGATTCCTATGAACATTTTCACAACAGATTTACTTTTGTAAATATATATAGGAAAAATATGAAATTATGAAATGTTTGAGGATTATGAGCTAAGTAACAACAGGCAAAGGTCGTATAGAAACATACGAGGAGGTCAGAGAAAACGAAAAGATTTCTGTTAATGAAGTGTGCCTATTGAGAGCTGATTATAATGAGATTGATCAGCTTTGAATGAATGAGTTTGATATTTCACAAGGTTTATTTAATATATTTTATTTTCTTCTCCTTAATGAAAAAATTACAGTGTTTAGCTCTAAGGAACAGTTTTCAAATGTAACCAGGAAATAATAAATTATGTCCTTTTTTTCCCCTTTTTCTTTCATTTTCTCTCTCTCTCTGTCTCTCTCTCTCTTCCTCTCCCTCTCTCTCTAGGGTATGAGTATTATAGAACAATTAGACCCTGTATCTTTTAGCAATTACTTGAAGAAATACCATAATACTATATGTGGAAGACATCCCATTGGAGTGTTATTAAATGTGAGTATCCTTAGGAAGCTTTGATTTTTTAACATTTGATCCTGTGATGTTTTAAAATATCTTAAACATCTTACGGTACCTGTGATACCTTATTTGCATAGGTTTTAGGTACATATAGTCAATTTTCTTTCTACTACCTTTAAGATAATTTGGATTCCCATTGTTTTGGTTACTTGAATAAAGTTATTTATCACTAGAAGATAGGCCAATACTTTTTTAAATACAGAAAGTTATTTAGAATACGAACCCATTTTCTCTAGATTCTCAGCCAATTCCAGTATGTTCTTTATAAATATAAGTCAAAGTAACCTTTCAAGAGATATGCGCGTATTAATTTCTTGGTTTTATTTAGTGTCCTAGACTCTATAAAAATAAATGGAAGGTTTTGCTCTTGATCTTTAGATATGTGTAAGTTAATAAAGCAAGACAGATGACTTATAAGTATTTCTCTTTATAAGGAAAACAATAGTAAGTCATTTAAGGAATGGTAGTAATAGGCAGAAGTCTTGATTAGCTGGATGTTTGAAAGAGAGAATAACATTAATTTCCACTAATAAATAAAACAGTATGGATTTTCTGAAAGAAAATGTAAGACTTTTTAAGAAAGAAGAAAGTGTATACTCAGGAATGGGAAGAGGAAGAAATAATAGGCTCATTGCTTTGGAAAGACAGAAATAATGGAGAAGGCAATGTAGTATAGAATAGTCTAGGGTAAGAATTAGAAGTCCAGTGTTAAGTTTTTTTCTTTCTTTTTTAATTAATTTTTTTTCTTTGTTGGTTTTAGAGAGAGAGGAAGGGAGAGGGAGAGAGAGATAGAAATATCGATGAAAGAGATCATTGATTGGCCGCCTCCTGCCTGCCTCCCACTGGGGACTTGGCCCACAACTTAGGCACATGCCCTGAATCGAACCGGTGACCTCTTGGTGCATGGGTCGATGCTCAACCAGTGAGCCACACTGGCTGTCCAGTATTAATTTAATGTGATGTGAAAAACAGTACATTGTGGATTTTTAAGAAGGGTTTTCTTTTAAGCATTATTGACTAACTGGAAGAAAAAACTATTAAGGGCTTAAACTAATTTCTGAAATTTAAACTAGATAAAGCTACACTAATTTCCTAACATCAGAATTGAATCAAATAACATTTTTGTAAAATAAATGATGAACCAATACACAAAGTAAAAATCCTGGTATACCTTTTAAAACTTTTATTTGTATACATTTCAACTTTAGCCAAAGTCAAATTAAACTGTGAAGTGCACAAAATTAAGCCACCAACACATTCGAAGAGTGTAATTTTTTTATATGTTATCTGTTATAACCAGAATTTTCTTTTTCTAGGCTATCACCGAGCTTCAGAAGAATGGAATGAATATGAGCTTTTCCTTTTTGAATTATGCCCAGTCAAGCCAGTGTAGAAACTGGCAAGACAGTTCAGTGAGTTATGCAGCTGGAGCACTCACGGTCCACTGAAGCTCTGAATCCTCAGGGATGCCACCTGCACACACTCATACTCTGTTCGGGTCCCAACCTAGCCCTTACCAAGATCCTGGTCTTGGTTTGGGGGGATTCTGAAACCTCAAACTAATAGAACTTTCTTCTCTTCTTTTCTAGTAGGTGTAGTCCTTCCTTAATTTCAACTCATTAAAAAATGCTTTATAGTTTAGGACAGTGGAAGGAAGGCTGGCATCAAATATTTTGATCAAAAAAGATGGCAATGTAATGGCCCAGTTGTGGCAGTGTTTTGAAAGTAACTTGTAAAGCATTTACCATATCCTAAATTTGCACTCTTTGCAGACTTGTGCACATATATTCCGCTTTCAGAATAGTTTTGCAAATTGTACACAAACAAAAAAGGTGGAAGCTTTTTAATAAAGAAATTGCATTTATAAATGATCTGTATTAGAATATAATAATTCTCCAGTTATAGTCAATTACTACCCGTGTTGTACAACAGATACCTTCTATTTTAGTTGCTAATAAAGGGCTACACAACTCAAAATAGTCTGATTTAAACTTATTGCTCTGTGGTATTATATGAAAATTGTTTTTTTATTAATTCATCTCAGACTTTTTATGTTAAAAGTGGTAAACTTCAGTTCTTACATGAAAATACGTTAGGATGTATATTATATTTAGCATATTTATGTGATTTTTTTATCACAGATATGAGAATCATATTTTAAAGTTAGCTTTTCAAATTACATACAGTTTGTTTTTGTGTGTGACATCACTTTGTGTCATTGCTATATTGTATATTTGAGATTGATAAAAGAACATAGACGTAGTCCTTTCCTTCAAAGATCATGTTTGATAGGCAGTAGTCTGCAAATGAGGAAACGTTGAAGAGTGTTCTTAGAGTTTTTCCAATCATTGCAGACCATACACTGCTGCTATGCTTTTTTAGTGCTTTAAGCAATTTGACTTGAATTTTTAGCAAGAAATCATTAACAATAACAACAAAAAGCCACTGGATTTTCTTGTAGTTCTAAAATTTCTTTGTCATGATTTTTGGTGCGGCTCTTCCAACTAAAATAATGGTATGGTGTTGTATTTCTTTGTTTAGCATAGACCAGTTCTAGTCAGTTAGTAATTATTGGCCACCATGCATGTACTAGATTATACCTATTTTAATCTAATACTGGGTGTCTTCATTACATTGGAGAACAATTTATACCTTCAATGTTATGCCAGAATAGCACAATTTTTAGATGCCTTGCACCGATTTTATTTAAAGATTGCCTTTCTTATTTACTAAATATCAACTTTATATACGCAAGACTTGAGATAAATTAATGCTATCTTTTGGATTCAAAATTACCCACCTATACATGTGTGGAAATTATATTCTAACATATTACTGTTTTATTTTCCATCATTTGGATATACTTTTGAGTGCTATAAATATTTATTCCTTATTTATTATATAGACTATGAAAATTTCAAAATTGATTATAGGATGAATTTTTAATGTTTTCTGAGTATAAAACTAATACATGATTATTATGGAAAATTTAGAAAACACTGAAAAGTATAAAGAAGAGAAAAAAATTATCTGCAATTTCACTATCCAGAGATAACACTGTTAATAGTTTTTTGTATTTTCTTTCAGTCTTTGTCTATGCTATTTATACGTATGAGTGTGTATATGTGTTTGTGTGTGTGCATAATAACAATATTGAGATTATACTGATCATAGAGTTGTATATTCTACTTTTTATACCTTAACATCATAAGTACTTCCTCAAGTCTTTGAAAATGTGATTTTAAAAAATGGCTGCCTAATATTCTGTTGTATGAATATACTATAATTGAACCCATTCTCTCTGTGGATATTAGATTGTTTCTAATATTATACAGTTATAAATAATAGCAGATGGGCATCTTTGTATGTGAAATTTAAACTCTGTATTTGACTAGTTCTGTAGGGAATATTCATGAGAATGGGATGATTGGTTTAGATGCTGAGAACTTTTTAGGCTCTTTAAAATACGGCCTAAAATATGGCCAAATTACCCATCAAAAAGTTTGTGCCAAATTAGCAATATAGGAGTACTCATACTGCTCCTTCTCCACTATTGATTATTATTTTTTTAATCTTTGACGGTTTGTTAAGCACATATTTGTTCTTTTGATCATTCTAATTAATGAGTAGCTTTACAATGAATCAGTGTTTTCCTTCTGTAATTTTATAGTTGATTATTTAATAAAACACAAGAGGGTTGCTTAGGTTGAGTGGGCAGTAGACTTATTAGTATGTTTACTGTACATTTAAAACCATAGAATATTTCAACATCCATCCTTTCCTATAATATGAACATGTGTTTCTTACTCAGTCATTAAGTAGAAAGAGTTTCAAACTGATAGTTGAGTGTTGGGTTATAGTTCTGCCTCTGCCACTAAATAATTCTCTCACCATATATATTTCATGTTGTATCAAAACTTTCTCATCTGTAAAATGTGGAGGTGGTCTCTTACGCACTTTCCAGTTTCAAACTACTTTAATGTTGTGACTACTCTTTAGAGAATCTGGTGTCACTTATGTTTAGAAGCTACATGATTGAATTAGATTAGAAGTATTATCTTTTGATTTTAACTCTACATACATGAAAATGAAAGTCTTTTAACAGAAAAGGAAAATTAATACGTATGATTTAATGTGGTTAATATTACCTAATTGTTGAACTTAAAATTTCCTACTTTAAGTGCCTTTAACAGTGTTTTGTATTTGAAATCTAAAATGTAAAGGAAATTATTATGTAGTTCTGTATAGATTCTTCTTTATTTTTACTTTGAGTTATTTGCAACTTTCTTTTTTTAAACCCTAGATTATACTGAGCAGTATATTCATAGATTCTTTACTATTTCACTAGTGAGTTCTTGAGAAATGTATGTTAAAGATTAGCTCAGTGAGCAGGTAAGTAAATTCTTCATCTTGGGTGAGCAACAGATCTTCATACAGAGTAGGATAAAGGACTATTCACATTGTTTATATTCAGATATTTCAATATGGGTGGTAGGCATCCTGAGTTAATGTTATTGTTGCAGATGTCAAATTTTTCTTTGGTAGAAAATAGTTCATTACCCTAGATTAGAGGTTGGCAGATGTTTTGGGTAAAGGGTCACATATAAATATTTTGGGTTTTGTGGGCTAAACCGTCTCTTTTTTTTAATTTATCCTCACCCGAGGAGACATTTTTCCTTTTTTGTTGTTGTTGTTGTTGTTGTTCAGATAGGGGGTGGGGGTGGAGAGGAAGAGAGAGAGAGAAACATCGACGTGAAAGGGACACATCGAGCGGCTGCCACCCGCTCTACACAACCAGGGTCGGGGACAAACTGCAACCGAGGTACGTGCCCTTAGCGGGAACCGAACCCGGGTCTCTCGCTGAGGCTCTAACTGCTGAGCCAAACTGGCCAGGGCCAAACCGTCTCTGTTTAGTTGTTTACCTTTGCTGTTGTAGCAAAGCAGTCCTAGACAATGTGCTCCAAACACAAAAAGACTTTGAGCTGGCTTTGGTCGATGGCGTAATCATTTAAACTGCAACAAATTGTAGCATCATTTTGATGTAGTTTAGTGCTGGGTTTGAATGTTATTTAGGATTATAAAGGGAAGTGGGAAGTGGGTAAGAGAAACTAGGAACTCTCAGAACTTGTGTTAAAGCACTTTGAAGCCCTTTTTTGCTGGAACCAGTGGAGGTTTGCTTTGCTGCCATAAATTAAGGGTGATGAGTGGGGGTTGTGATTGGTTGTTGCAAATTATATAAATTATATTCTAAGTACTTGGCTACCTAGATAGTAGTAAAGAATGGATCAGATAGACCTTTTTACCTGACTATTTTAGGGTACTAGACCAATAATTTAAGAGAGATTATGAATCTGAGACTTTTATTTTGCCATGTAAAAACTTTTGTAAAAACTACCATCTTGTATCACCACCACTTTATTTGCCCCCCCCCCCCCCCCGCCCAAATATTTAGGAAGGACAAAAACTCAGAATAAAAGAGTTATTTGCCCTGGCCGGTTTTGTTCAGCGGTTGGAGCGTCGGCCTGCGGACCAGAGAGTCCTGGGTTTGGTTCCCGCTAGGGGCACGTACCAAAAAAAAAGTTATTTAACCTGAATAATTTTAAATTGATGGAAAAATTACTATACTGTTATTTTCTCATTTACTCTAGATCACTGAAAACTTCATCAAGTATCAATCCATAGACTGTCAGTTGGGAAGTGCTATGATATGGTTGCTGAAAGGCCTAATGTAGTTATAAAATTGTTATTGATTAAGAGATGTAATAAACCACATGTACTCTGATATTTAGACTAAAACTTTTATATTGTGTTAAATTGTAAGTGCCACATATTAAGAAGGGACATTATGAATTACATGTTCACAGGGAGGCCACCAGAAAGCTGAAAGGCCCGAGTGCTATGGAAGGTGGGATGCGGTCAAAGAAATTGGTGATACTAATTTTGGAGAAGACAAGTTTGAAGAGAGGGAGTTTTCTTCCGATATTTGAGTAACTGTCGTGTGTAAGAAGGAATAGAATTATTGTGTTGTTACTAATGGAAAAATTAATTGTAAGAAATGGAGGTTTCTGGTTTCGTATTTAATGTTGTATATGGGCATTTCTAAGTGAAAATTGGTTCTGTCCTCATAAAACCATTGCGAGTATTCAAACAAAAGCTAGATCATCAGGGGTTCTGAAGTAGGATCCCTATAACTCTTCAGCATCAGCATCTCCTGGGTATATTAGTGGTGTAGATCTAAAATTATGGGTCACCAAGCTGAAAAAAGCTAATGGAATTAGTACAAGTTAAATGAAATGGGTTTCATTTGAATAAAACTCTTAAGGGAAGTCATTTATAAGTAAAAATTGATTTTGATCATTAAACACTAACTTTCAACACATTGTAAATTGATAAGATATTGATAAGATGATTGTTGTTTAATTGTTAGTGGGGGAACACTGGACCCTTAGAATAATTAATGTGTTTATTTTTTGTTAAAACATTTAAATTTAAGGTAAAGTTCTACCATTTACTAAAATAAATTTAAGTTGGTCTTTGAATAAGTGACCTAGGTTTATTAAACACAGATGCTTCTTGAATCTAAAACAGCCATATCATTAGAGGAAAAGGGTATTGGAGGAGCTTGCTCTTTTTTATACCTATTAATGTCAAAATAGAACGGGAACCAGCAGCAGCTGGCAGATAGGTTTTCCCTGTGCTCTTCCTTTTCTCCTCCCCTGTAAATAGAACTGAGTGGATGTCACAGTATCATCATTGACCATGCTGTACATTTGGAAAAGTTGCCCTCAATCCGTGTTGGTAACTGGGACCGCTGCCTTTTAATACTCACTCTTGTGGATGGATTTTGTTTGCCTGTCATGAGTTCATTGATATAGTCTGCTTTTTGGGTACTATGTGAAGAATTTTAGGGTTTTAGATCTGTCATTTATCCAAGGGTTCTACAATGATCTGAGTGGTTTGTACCCAGGATGTATTAC